CCCCCTCCAGCCTCCAAACCCGGACAGTGCCCGCCCCAGCTCCCGCTGATTGACAGGCGGTGCAGCGACTCCCAGGAGCCCGGCTTTCGTTTGGCAACTCCGGCAGAGGTAACAATACTGCCGTAGCCAATGGGAGCCAAGAGGCGGGGCCTGCGGCGGGGAGGCGGGGCTGGTCAGGTGCTCTGGGCCGAGGTGGCGTGCAGGTGAGTGGTTGCGGGTTCAAGGGGCGCCCTTGGCTTCCGCCGCCTCCCCATTATTGCCTGGGGTCAGCCGGAGGGAGACCCTCCAGGCGCTCCTTCCATTGCCCCCAAGCCAACGCGAACTGACCGGATCACTGCGAGGGTAAGAGTCCAGGGAAGTGGGCGGCTTGCCTCCCGGGGACCCACTCGGCTGGGTCCCTTTTCCACTGCACGCACGCACACAGCCCACGTTGGGGCATCTGCCAGCCTCGGTGGGCGGGAGGTCTGCGAATTGGGAACGTACCCTACACCGCGACCCTTCCCAGTGGCTGGTGTGGAATCCTTCTGGAGGAGATGAGGAGATGCATCACCATCCTCTTGAGATCTATTCGCTCTATCCACATCTGCTCCCCTTCACTTCCCCTCTTCGCGTTTCTTGGTGCCTTTTCCCTCCAGATTTCCAAGGCTGTCTGTGGGGGAAGGATTGGAGAGGAGGAGGAACTGGAAAGCAGCCCAGTGAAATCTGGACCCGGAACTAGGAATTCCACTGCACCGGGCAGCATTTTGTGCATGGAAAAGAAAGACATCTGAGATTTCCTTCATCCCCACCGCCACCTCTCTGTTTATTACTTTATCAACGGTGTGATGATGTTGGTTCCTCTTACCAAGTTTTCCTAAGCTTTAGACAACACTTAGCCTTGTTTCATGTTCGTTTGTCCCAGGAAAGCAGTTCTTTCCTGCTTACCACAGTTGCTGAATTAATTTACTAAGATAGAGGAAAATCAGGTGTTTCATATAGTTGATTTTCTTTTTTTTTTTTGCTTTAAATTACATTTGTTTCCTATTATCCTTCCTTGTGTTAGGAGGGTGGAGGAGAAAGGAGAAAGGGGGGGAATCCCTATCCTCAGCCAGCTATGTTAGTAAATATATTTGCAGTTCCTTAGTGGACCTGATTTTTAATGTTCCTTCCAGAATTGGAAACATTATTGCCTTTTGAGAAATAGTTTTTTTAATTTAATGTTTGAACTATTGTCTGGAGACCAATACTTAAAATAATTTCAGCTGAAGTAATATTCTAGGTCTGGTGAAATCACGGTTAAAAAACAAACAAACAAAACAGAATTATTGCTCTCAAGCCAATACGCATAATTTACACATAGTTTGTGGGTCTGAAAGCAAAGCAAGCACGCCAAACAGTGTTTATTTCCCTATACCCATAATATGGTAAGGCAAGACGGGGTCTGGTTTGGAGGTTTAAAAATGTCTTCAGCATATTCAAATTAGGAAGATGTCAAAAGCTGAATTCAAGAGATTTCTGGCACAAAGTATGGTGAGATCCAAGTTTTGGTGGGTTTATAAACACCTTCATGCAAGAATGGACAGGAAAAGGAGAGAACAAAAGATCCATGCTTGATTTGCAAGCCCAGTGAGAACTGATGAAATTTACATATGTATCGTTTATCCATATTGCCTCTTATTAGCTTTTTTGAATAGAATAAAAGCTTTTTAGAAATATATGCAGATTAAAAACAACAACAACAACCTTGATCCAAAGAGATTATTTAATCCTGGGAAGTGCTTTTTCTACAGATATCACTGATCAGATTAAATGTTGACAAATTCTAACATTGGGAAGGTCAACATCAAATTTCAGAATTATGTTTCTGTTTATACTTAGTTCAGAATCTAATTGTTGGGTTTAAAGAAGGTTATGCTTTGATTATTAATAAATGAATACAGATTACATTTCACAAATATATTTGAATGTCACAAATTTTATGTCACTTTGAGAAACCAAGTTCATCTATTTTCTCCTCTCTATTAACATTTCTAATTATGATGAACCAAACATAAGGCCTTGGCTTTGAAAAATAGATGTGTATATATATATTTTTTTAAAAAGCATTATCATTGGATTTGCTAATGGTACTTCCTTGTTGCTAGGTTCCTATAGTTCATATTTGACTATATAAACGTTTCTGACCTGAAGTCAGAAGTCTGGGTCAACCTGGAAATGTTTCTGTAAAATATTGTATTTTGAAATGATTTTGGGGGAGCTTATTTAAATAATTCCTTTGAGGAATGTTTTGACAAATTCTTGGAAAGTAAAACAATTTCTAAAATGCAACTAAACTTCTTAGCATTATTATACAGGTAGCCCCAGCTTTCTTGTTTAAGAGTCCTGCAACATAATCCTTCCAGGCTGTGATTTATGATATAATTGGGATACTAAGCATCATCACTCTCAGTTTTGGGTAACGTATACCAAACAAGATTATTGCCATTAACTTCTATATGTTTTTTATACAGATTATCTTACACTGAACTGATCAAGTACTTTGAAAATGACTTCAAAACTTCTCCGGGTATCCTTCATCCTTGCTGCGTTAACACTTTCAATGACATTTTCTCTCCAGCCAGACCAGCAAAAGGTTCTACTAGTTTCATTTGATGGATTCCGTTGGGATTACTTGTATAGAGTTCCAACACCCCATTTTCATTATGTTATGAAATATGGTGTTCATGTGAAGCAGGTCACTAATATTTTTATTACAAAGACCTACCCTAACCATTATACTTTGGTGACTGGCCTCTTTGCAGAGAATCATGGGATTGTTGCAAATGACATGTTTGATCCTATTCTGAACAAATCTTTCTCCTTGGATAACATGAATATTTATGATTCTGAGTTTTGGGAAGAAGCAACACCAATATGGATCACAAATCAGAGGGCAGGATACTCTAGTGGGGCAGCCATGTGGCCCGGAGCAGATGTAAAAATACATGAGAGCTTTCCTACTCACTACATGCCTTACAATGAGTCCGTTTCGTTTGAAGATAGAGTTGCCAAAATTATTGAATGGTTTACGTCAGAAGAGCCCATAAATCTTGGTCTTCTCTACTGGGAAGACCCTGATGACATGGGCCACCGTTTGGGACCTGATAGTCCGCTCATGGGGCATGTCATTTCAGATATTGACAACAAGTTAGGATATCTCATACAAATGCTGAAAAAGGCAAAGTTGTGGAACAGTCTGAACCTAATCATCACAAGTGACCATGGGATGACCCAGTGTTCTGAGGAAAGGATAATAGAACTTGACCAGTATCTGGATAAAGACCACTATATCCTGATTGACCAGTCTCCGGTAGCAGCCATCTTGCCAAAAGAAGGTAAGTCTGACCAGGTGGGTGGTGGTCTGAGACTAGGTCTGCATGTGCCCAGGGCGATTGAGTGGGGGATTTTTGTTTCTGTGTCTTTAAAGTATGCTTGACTATGTCATGGTAATATTCTGGGATTTAATCCTTCGACTCTGAAAAGACAAAATCTCTTTTCTCCCTCTAATTTTTCACTTTTTCCCTAGAATATTGAAATTGATGCTCTTTATATATTTATGGCAATCAGATTTAACCATTTTGGAATCATCAAATTTGAAAGCTCCAGCCTCCCTTCTCAGAAAAATTGAGATGGGAAGAGACATACAAAATTTGCATACAATTACAGTGATTTCATAGAAGCCCTAAAGCCTTCTGTAGATCTTTAGTTAGGACCTGCTTAATAGGAAAGCAGTAGAGTGTAGGAAGGATAAAGCTTTGGTCAACCTGAGATTTATTTTCCTTATCTGCAAGTAGAGGAAGTAATAACAATACCTTGAACTTTTTACAAACCTCTCCTTGAAGCTTCATACCAACCCCGTCACTTAGGTATTATTTCTATTTTAAAGATAGGTAAACAAGCTCAAAAGGTTTAACATCTCCAGATCACAAAGTAAGTGCAGGGCAAGATTCAGGCCTGCTCTTCTGACTTCTATTTCATCACCTCCTAGGGTTAAGCTTGGTATCAAATGAGAGAACAGATTTTGAAAAGCTGAATACCTCCCAAATGAGAGTTATACACATCACAGGAGAAATAAGAGGATCATATGAAACAGTGAATGTTAAAATATTCATGTGCGCATACACACAGACCTTTCAACAGATTCAGTATAAAATACCAAGTTTTGGGTTGTTTAAGAAATCACGTTTACCTTTCAGTTTTCCCTGTAAAATTGGTATGGTGCTCCCTTGTCAGTGTGTGGGAGGCACAGAGGTAGCACAACAAATAGATTTGAAAAAGAAGAAAAAAATTAAAGATAGTGCCCAGGTTTACTGCATTTGAAGTTACAGGGGGTACTTTTGCAACACTTGCAGGGCTTTGAAGAACTTTTCCATTTTATAAGCTGTTTCCACCTCCACTCTGTGCTTTCCTGACCCTCCACTTACCATATTCTTTTGTCTAGGGATTTTCTGCATTCAGAACTACCGGAACTTGGCTGGTATTGCAGTGCCCTAGACATTTTACTTAGTGCCACAAATTAGCACCTGTGTGTGTGTGTGTGTATTTAAGTCTTTAAATTAGAGGTTAGAGCTTGCTGGTTCTGTGAAATGTCGTCTCTTAATTCTAGAAGGTGAATTTACTTATGACGTGATGATTTCTCAGTTTCTCAGACAAGATTCTTTCCTCAGCGGCGCTGGGAGTTCTCAAGTGGCTGGCTGTATTGCATTGTGTTTACATGCTGGCTTTTGACCTCAGTAGGGCGTCTGCATTGATGGACCTCTGTTGCCATGGTTGTTTCTTTGATTGTTAACAGTGAATGTCTTGTTCTGAGTGTCTCGCCTTCTCCCATCTCTTTTAGGTAAATTTGATGAAGTCTATGAAGCACTTGCTCAGGCTCATCCTAATCTAACTGTTTACAAAAAAGAAGAGATTCCAGAAAGATGGCATTACAAATACAACAATCGAATTCAACCAATTATAGCAGTGGCTGATGAAGGGTGGTATATTTTACAGAATAAGTCGGATGACTTTATGTGTGAGTATATTACAGTATTTCTTCCCATTCTGCATTGTCATTTGCTAAAGTGGAGGCTGTGAATAATACACTTAATTTATTGATCGAGTAACTAGCTAGTGTCATACATTAATAGCAAAATAAAGAGCTTTGGGGCTTTAAAAAGAGGTAACCTGCTAAAAGTGAAACATTTACTTCTCTTGGGGTCATCAGACCAAAGAGATGCACAGTGACCTATATTGCTAATTAGAACCATTATGTTCCTGAGAAAAATATAACAAATTTATAAATTGAATTATTTTCTGCATTTGTTTTATATTCTGGTTTCATAAGAATTTAATCTCTTTTTATTTGCAATTGTTAGTGTTCTAGTTTCTTTTGCCCTTCTGGCTCTACCAAATGTAGGCCAGCTTTGCTTTACACCTTGGAAACATTTCTAAAAGGAAATCCATGTGGCATGGATAATAGTATATCAAGATGTATTTTCCTAATACCTAGTGATATAATTTTGGAGATATTTCCACTGAATAAATTTAGAATATAGTGGAAATCCCACTTAAAATTCAAACATACAAAATAAAGAGCTTTCTGCCATCCTTAATGTGTCATTTCCCTTCTCATATAGCTTTTAACAAATTGGTCAAATGGAAAAGTCACCCACAGGATTTCACTCATCCTTATTGTGCCTGTTATTTGCATATTTGCTGTCAAACTCTCCGCCCTTTCCCTGCTCTGCTTTGTAACACAAGTGACTGACCCCTGCAGACTAAATTTCCCAGGCTCCTTTGCAGACTGGTTTCTGGTTAGGTTTGGCCAATAGAAGACCCTGGCAGGAGTTTAGAAGGCAGGAGGAGGAGATAAGCCAGGATATTTGTCCCCTATTCTCTCTGCCTCAGGCTGTGTCTCTAACAATGGCTTCATTTCCTCTGTGATCCCAGCTCCCTCTGGACAGCTTCTCTCTCTGTGGCCTTAGCTCTTACTAGGTAGGCGAGGCTTTTAGGCTCTGGCCACACCACCTCTTCCTTCCTCTAGCCCTGGGGGCCATAGGAGGTTCCTACAGTTCCTAATCAGGAGGTAACCTCACCATCCCATGTTTGCTTCTCAGCTCTTCAGCATTTTTATAACTAGTCTCCATGTTAAATTCCCTCTATGGGACCACCTGGTCTGGGTTTCCTGGTTGATTTAGGTATAAACATGCACTACTGATCAGATCACTGGGAGTTTTTTCTACTCTTGTTTCTTGAATGTTGAAGGAACCACATTGTGTCAAAACTATCTAGAAATGCTTCTTTGGGCATTGGTCCTTGATATATAGATGAGATGTATAAAATTGTCCCTTTAGGTAGAATTGGGTTCCTATCATGTTTATTGATGAAAAGAAAAGCAGTTGCCTGACAATGGCATTTGTAGTGTATACGTGAGTCACAGTGACAGACGTGTGCAGGTACTAGGTTTCTGGTTCTTAAAACTGGTTTTACAGACAGATAATGATCTGTAAACCAGTATTGAATCACGCCAGGGGAACTGTTTTAAGAAGGCCTTTAAAAATAATTTCTTTGGCCATGAGAATAGTTTCTACCTTTATATGTTCAGATTTTCATGTGTTGTGCAGATAGCTTTGATGTTGGAGGGCTTGCTCAAAAAAAAAAGACTGATATCTTTGAGGAGATTTGTACTTTACAGTTAACATAAATTTAAGGAGATCTCTTGAAATTTTGGGTTGGTGAATTACAATTACACAATGGATTGGTCACACCTATTTTTGATAGAAAACCTTAATAATGCTCCTATTTATGTTACATTTTATTCATTTATTCGACAAATAATGAAATATTGGCCACCACCCATCCTTCTCAGCCTGAATTCCACAGGAGAATTAAGCCCTAATGTCCAAAAGCAGTGGTTCTCAAAGAGTATTCCCTGGACCAGCAGCATCCAGATCACCTGGGAACGTGTTAGAAATGCAGATTCTTGGGCTCAACCCAGACCTACTGAATTGGAAACTGTGAGGGTAGAGCCCAGTAATCTGTTTTTACAAGCACCCCAGAAGTCTCATACACATTGAAGTTTGAGAACCACTGCCCTTAGACATGCATTATTAGATATTGTCTCTTGGATCAAGCATTTATGGTAGGCGCTACCACTGCAAAACAAAGTCCCTATTCCAGGGGAAGGTCGTATAAGTCATAATGATTTCATTTCAAATCTGATTTTTCTAGTAAGAAGTGTAGTATGAGAGAATCATCTTTGCTTTCATGACTGAGAGTCTAGATCCCAACTTCTCGTAGAAATGAATGCAGCAGTCATCCAATTACAAATTATAGAATGGCACATTTCCCAATGTTACTATCAATTAATTAAATAGAATAGCACAGTACCCTGTCAGATAATTCCTAGTGATTTCATAAATCCAGCATTATTTTTACTTGAATAAACTGAAAAGAATCATGGCATATATAATGACTTCTTTAGATGAATTTTGCCAGGCAGATTTGGAATTACTTTGAGGAGATGACTAGGGGTCAGTTCATGACTTTCAGAGGAATTGATTTAGGATGATTTTTTATTTTGCAATGTTGTGTTCCCATTGCATATTTCCCTGTAGCAAATATAGGTATGAGAGACTGATTTGCTCTTCATTCTCTGTATCGCCTTTAAAATAACGCCTGTCAGTTTTCTTAGGTTGCCATTATACCAGCAGTAGCTCCTTCACCTTGCACCCTGATGTTACGCTAGGCACACACACCTTTAAAATGCGGCTTTTATGCAGGAGTGTGGATCCTTCGATTTTGTATCACTTGATAAGTCAGAAAACTCCTGAAGTTTTTACTTTATTTGTAGCCATACCAAAGCACACCATGCTAGGTTGGAATCTGATCTGAACCACCAAAGTCAAGATCTTACCCACAAGACCTGACCTGTATTTTCCAGAGGTGGGTTGTAGCTATGACTAGAGGTTTGATTTTTCTGATGTCTTTTGTTTTCTTGATTGTTTTTCCCCTTTTATTGGTAATTATGAGTTTATTGTCTTCATGACTAAGAACGTCTTTATTCCTTTATCTTTAGAACGATAATTGGAACATAGGAGGTACCTAACAAGTATTTGCTGAATATTAGTTTACTTGCCACCAAAAAAACATCACTTTCATTTTCCCCTGACTTGACTCCGCTTTGCTCTTTGCCCTTCCTGATCTGCTGCTTAAGTAGTGCTGGCCTGTGAGCAAGACTTGTGATCATTTGACTGTTCATTTCCTGAAGTGAATTGTGACACTGACAACAGTGGAAATTTTTTGTAAAAGATTATTTTAAGAGTCAAATTAGATAAAATTTGCGTTTCAGTTCAGAATTGAATGATACAACAATTGTTTCCATTCTAATGGTTGGCTAACTTATCCATTCATTTTATCTTTGCAGTAGGCAACCACGGTTATGATAATGCATTAGCGGAAATGCATCCAATGTTTTTAGCCCACGGTCCTGCCTTCAGAAAGAATTTCACAAAGGAAGCCATGAACTCCACAGATCTGTACCCCCTGCTCTGCTACCTCCTCAATATCACTGCTGTGCCACACAATGGATCATTCAGGAATGTCGAGGATCTGCTCAGTTCAACGGCTGCAAGGGCTATTCCTTATACACAGAGTACTACACTCATTCATGGTAGTGTCAAACCAAGAGGATACGAGCAAGAGGAGTCATATGCTTATTTCATAGGGGTCTCTCTTGGTAGCATTATAGTTATTGTATTCTTTGTAATTTTCAGTAAACATTTAATTCACAGTCAAATACCTGCCTTACCAGATATGCAGGCTGAAATATCTCAACCATTATTACAAGCCTAATGCTATTTTTAAGTGGAGATTGCATAATTGTGTCAGTGTTTAACGGTTTCAAATTCTGGGAAACCAGTTTCAGATATTTGCATAGACCGTTAAGCAGTTGTATACATATACAGGCACAGTCGCACACACACCCACACCAAAATACATAGACCTGCAAAGGATTAAGGATGTGGAGGTATGTTTCCACTGTTCTCTGCAGCTTAGGGGTACATAAGATCCTGCTTTATTTGGACTTGACACATATCATGTATATATTTAGCAACTTTGCACTATTTAAAGTACCTTATACATTGCACTTTAAATTACTCTCCTAATGGGGACTTTTATGTGAAATGCGCTTTATTGACAATTATGTCTTAAAACTTTGTTGAAAAAGACAACCTTTTGTGCCCATGTCACAGAATACGTGTTATTCATTGTTCAAACCGAATGAAATTTTTAATAATTCCTAAATAATGTAGAAATCTATCTCCTTAAATTGGGAGAGCAAGAAGAAAGTGAAAATTGTTGAAAATTAAATGTGACAACTTTTGTACGTTGAATTTTGGAGAGATACATTCCTAACAGCAGGATGCATCTGTGGGCATTCCTTGTCATATTTCTTTCCAAAGGACATGGATTTTCATTTTATTTTCCCCAAAAAAAGTGATTCAAATACTGACAGATTCATTCTAAACATATTGTTCTGTCATAAAATTCATTATTATTTCCTGATTAGTCATTTTACTCTGATTTTCATGATAATGAAGACACCATGAATACACATTTCTTTTCTATGTAGTCCATGACCTGAATAGAAGAGACTGGGCACCATCTCAGCAATGTTTTCTCCTGTTCTGTAATTATTTGCTTCTTTGAAAACTAAATCATTATTAATCATATTAAAAATCAGATTAGATAGAACGGTTTTTGTCTGGTAACATGTAACAGAGCACAAGCATCTTTGAGATTTGGGCATTTGAAGATCCAGAATTGCAAGAGAGCACAAACTATATTAGGTGAAATGTGGGCCACTCACTCTTGGAAAAGAGCTATGTGGGGCTGGGGGAAAAGTTAGGCAAGACCCTTGTTGTTCACAGTGTACCCAGAACAGTGCCAAAGGGTGCCTGATGGCAAAAACGAGCGAATAACTCTTAGCGTCACAGGTATTGCGACAAGAGGGGCTCAGATTATAGCCTTGTTTCTTGAAATATTTGAATACCCACTCAACCAGGTGCTCAACGAATCCAAGACGAATCTAAGTTCACAAATAGACTTCTCCCTCCTGGGTAGCGTTTTTCGTTGACAGATAGACATTACCTCCTGGCTAGTTTTTTTTTTTACCTGCCTGGTCATCTCAGCTCCTTTCATTCTAACCACCTGGAGCTGTGCTTTAGGTCTCCTAAGTAGTCAGGTTGGGGAGAGGGCAGTATTACCTATGGTTTTTTTTAGGGGAAAGAGGAAGCCCCAGAAAGAACAGCTTTCCTTGAAGAAAACAGAAACCAGTTTATGGACCCGTGGCCCATACAGGATATTGTGATTTTGTATCTATTTATGCACCAACTGGCTTAATAAGTAGGTAAAATGGTATATGTATTCCAGAAAGAAAGACTACATTAGATGTAGAGAACAAAAGTGGCATAGTTAAAAATGTAATTGAATATAAGTGCTTCCTAAAATAAGGTGAATAAATTATTTTTTTAAGTGATAATACCAATAAAGAATGTTAGCATCTAATTCTCATTTCATTATACAACCTCTTAATAAGATGGAATGAAATCCCTGGAAATGTACTATGGGTTAAAAAGCTGAAAAGTTAGATGGTAGACAGCAAACTCCTCAAAAAGTCTGAACTCTGGATTAGACATTTTGGAATACGTGACCACTCATGTTGGCTTCCTTTGTAGGTATGAACTTATCTGCGTTGTTGAGTCGCCAGTATAATGACTGAAAGATGAAATTGGTCTAATTAAAAGCATTACTATTCAAGTGCTATCTGTACATTTAAACTAATTATTGCATTAAATTCATTTTAGAAGGTGCTACTACCTTAGTAGTAAGAAGAAAGTAAATTCTGTAACATTGATGAAATCAGTAAAATTCTGATATGAAGGTTTGGTTATTGAGTGGTTTCTTTTATTTACAGATACTTATTTTCCTATAAAATATCAGCAGGAGAGTTTAACTGAAGGAAAATGAAATTTTAAACTTTGCTGGGAAAATCTAGTCACTTATCATCTTTTGATAGCTTTTTTGTTGTTGGTTTACTGCGTGTCTTCATGGTCAAAGTTGGTGTGCAGCGAACACAAATTAGCACATAGGAATAAAATTTAGATTAGCTAATCTTTTTAAATTTTTTTTTGTGAGGACGATTAGCCCTGAGCTAACATCTGATGCCAATCCTCCTCCTCTTTTCGCCGAGGAAGGTTGGCCCTGGGCTAACATCTGTGCCCATCTTCCTCTACTTTATGTGGGACGCCACCACAGCATGGCTTGACAAGTGATGCGTCCATGCCCAGAATCCGAACCAGCAAACCCCGGGCCACCAAAGTGGAGCGCGTGCACTTAACCGCTGCGTCACCAGACCGGCCCTAGATTATCTAATCTTACTAATTGTAAGTAAGAATTTTAGAAAGGTCAGAGGAATGGAGTTCCCCCCATTCTGCCATTTTTGCTCAACATCCTCCATCAGCTATTTTGTACAATTTATTAATTGATAAGATTTTTCTTAGTGTGTGTTTTGCAATTTCTTTTCCCTTTGCCATCTGCCAGTGAAATTTAAAATTGCTTTTCAAAATGCTTTCTGACCTCTTGAGGCGAACTAGGATCCTATTATTCATTTCAATTTCTTACAAGAACCTATTTCTAGAAAATCTAATGAAGATCCTAGCTCTCAGATTTTTTCAGCTGTTCCTTAACTAAAGGGGACAAACTCAAGAATCATAGAGCCGGGAGGGATCCAAGAGACCATCCAACCCCCTGATTTAACAAAGAAACTTGAAAGCTGTGAAGTGACTTGCATCACATGTTAGTGCCAGCTGGAAGCAGGACCAGTATCCTGATCCAGTTTGGGAGTTAGGATTCAACATAATGAATTTTGAGGAGCACAGTTAAGTCTATAACAGGCAGGGAATGCAAAACAAAAACAAAACCTCCTGGAAAAATGAGAAAATGTGCAAGAAAATATATTCATATCTCCAACTTGATAATATCCCATTGTCTTCCTCCTCCAGGGTTGCTCTTGAGAAGTCTTGTGGCCCCCCTCTCCCCCGCCCCTTCCTTCCCTCCCTTCTCTAACATTTGTTTTTAAATCCTCAGTTCCTTGAAATTTTACAGTTATTATCTAAGACACTCCACGCGTCATTCAGGGGGCCCTTTCATTTTAAAGGTTCATATCTTTTTTATTCTAGTAAATTCTCATAGTTTATAATTTCCTTTAATCTATTTTCTGTTTACCCTCTTCAGCACTCATCTTAGTTGGATGTTGAACCTTCTGAATTGGTTGATCGTTTCTCTCTCTCAATATTTTCCAACTCTTTGTTACACCATTTGAAATACTTCGTCTCCCAAGCATTAGCCCTTTGTTTTTTTACATATTGAAAGTCTTATTTTTAATTTTCCAAAGTTCTTTCTTGTTCTGTTTCTTTTTAATAATGTTACTTTTGTGTGCGTGTGTGAGGAAGATTAGCCCTGAGCTAACATCTGTTGCCACTCCTTTTTTTGCTGAGGAAGATTGGCCCTGGGCTAACATCCGTGCCCATCTTCCTCTATTTTATACGTGGACGCCTGCCACAGTGTGGCTTGAAAAGCGGAGTGTAGGTCCGCACCCGGGATCCAAACCTGCAAACGCCGGGCCATCGAAGTGGAGCACGTGAACTTAACCACGACGCCACTGGGCTGGCCCCAATAATGTTCCTTATTTTAACTTTTTTATTGAAGGAAAACATACTCGAAAGTGTGCAAATAGTAAATGTGGCCAACTATCGACAAGTGAACAAAACCGTGTAACTATCACTGTAGAAGACAGAACGTTATCAGTACTCCAGAAAGACCCTCTTAAGATTCTTCCCAATCCCTCTCTCCTCCGTCCTGCCTAAAGGTAACACTGTCCTGACTAGGAACACAATGAATACTTTCCCATTTTTAAACTTTATCTAAATGGAATCATACAATATATACTCTTTTACGTTTGGCTTTTTTCACTTAAGATTATGTTTGTGAGATTCATCCATGCTCTTGCCCATAGCAGTGGTTTGTTTCTTTTTATTGCTTCATGGAATCACTTTGTGTGAATATACCACAATCTATTTATGTACAGTATTCTGTTTTTAGATATTTGGATCATTTCCAGTTTCCTGTTACTATGAGTATGCTGCTATGAACATTCTTTTACATGTCTTTTGGTGCATATATGTATATATTTTTGTTGGGTATGAATATAAATCCATTATTTAGCCTGGGTTTTCTCAAAAGCAGAGTCTGGGACAAAGGCTTGTGTGCAGGCAATTTATTTGTGAAGTGATCCCATAAAGAAAGAGAGAGGGACAGGGAGTGAAAGAGGGTTGCAGAGAAAGCCTATACAAGCCAAAGTTAGAGAACTGGCCACTGTTATGCGTGGTGGCACTCAATCCCGCAGGGCCTTCAGAGGAGCCTTATGAAATGCTTCTCAGAACTGTCTGCCTGAGGAAGGGAAGACGGAAGCAAAGCATTTATCCATCAGCTTCCAAAACCCCACAGGTTAAGGGTGGCTGCATGGGTATTAACTCCAAGGATTGGGTAGTGCATACACAAGTGCCAAGTGTGATCTCATGGGTACCCATTGTTGTAGGGTCTGGGCCAGGAGGAAAGAGGCTAAGCATCATCAGGATGCATCTGTGGGAAGTTGGTCTAAGCCAGGATGAAACTGAAGTAAGAGGTAGGCTGAGGGGATTTGCGGTGGTACATAAGAGATGTCTAATACACCACACCTGTATGGATTCTTCACTTTAACAAAGGTCATCAATTGTGTTCATCTATTTGTCCCTTGTGTCAACACCATACAATCTTAATTCTTACAACATTATGATATCTTGACTTCTGATAAAGTAAGTCCTATCGTTTTATTTTTCTTCAAGATTATCTTGCCCCTTTGCATTTCTACATAAATTTGAGTCAGCTAATACAATTCCATAAAAAATAAAACCCTGCTGGAATGGCTTGGATGCAATGATCAATTTGAGGAGAATTGCCATCTTTACAATATTGAATTGTCTTACCTATAAACATGATATAGCCTTCTGTTATTTTGATCTTTCTTAATTCCTCTCAATGTTATAATTTCCTGTGCAAAAATTCTGTCTGTATTTTGTTAGACTGAGATATTTCATGCTTGTTGATACCAATGTAAATGATACCAGTTTTAAATTTTCAGTTTTCTGCTGATATATAGAAATACAATTGATTTTTATATATTGACCTTATATCCAGCATTTTTCTTAAGCTCCATTCTAGTTTATCTGATTCCTTTGGATTTTCTTTGTATGCAATCATGTCATCTGTGGATATGACAGTTTTATTATTTTTCAAATCTTATATTCTTTTTCTTGCCTTATTACACTTGCTAGGACATCTAGTACAATGTTAAATAGAAGTGATGAGAGTGGACATCCTTGCCTTGTCCTGATTTTAGGAGAAAAACATTTAGTATTTCACTGTTCAGTCTATTAGCTGTAGGTTTGTGGCATTCATTCATTCATTCATTCATTTCATTCATTCTCATTCATCAGCTTGAAGTTTCCTTCTCTTTCAAATTTGGTGAGTTATTTTGTTTTGAATAATAAATAGGTGTTGAATTTTGCCAAAGGCTTTTTCCACATTTATTAACATGATCATGTTTTCCTTTTTTTTTATCCTATTAATATGGAGGATAACACTGATTTTCA